CTGAATAATTGTTATTGCTCTCTTTTTTCCCCATTGTTTTTTTTTTAATTCTCATCATTCCACACCTTCCAAAACTCAAGTCCTTGGGTACTGACACGGGGAAATTCAATATTAATTAATCTTGCAGCATCCAAGCAGCCGGAGGCTTTGAAGATTTGAAACACAATGGCTTTCAAACATGTGTAATTTTTCTTTGAGCTTTGGTGGTGTTTTATCTGATGCAGTGCAGCCATCTAAAAAATTTAATGATTTCCCTGAGGCAAAATTAAAGTTTACTTATAGCTAGTACCCAAGAGAGACCGAGGCCCAATTCAGATCTGAGCACTTCAGCACAGCCCATTCATTTCAGCGAGGTTTGCTGAGGAGCTAATATTCCCCGTGGATTGTGCCTGCTGTCTTCTTGCTTGAAATCATTTAGTGCAGATCATGAAATGGAGGGAAATACTGCTACTTGCTAGGAGGAAGGCTGGTGCTTCATGGTTATTTAACAGCCCTACTGCTGCTAGATATTGTGAGTGAACTGAAATATATATTAGTCTTCTGCTATCTGACGTTTTTGGGTCATAATGCTTTCTGAAATTAGGCATGGGGTGAATGGATTGAGGGCCTTTACAATATTTACAATATGATCTGTGTGGGGCTTACCTGGATCCAAATCATGGAAAGACCTTTTCTATGCCTTTTTTCTGTGCTCAGGTCTCTTGCATGTCAGTTGTTCCTCTCTCTTTTTTTTAGCCTGATTATTTTTTGCTCCCTGCTAATGTTCCCTCTAAGCTGTGTGGGTGTCCAGCACTGTATTGGTGTCATGCACCCACAGTTAGTGTTGTCACTCCTTTGGTTCTGGTTACAGACAGGACCTTGCACACATGCGGTGGAGTTTCCACTTAGTGCTGGAGGAAGGTTAGAGGGAATGTTGCTCCCTGGTGGTTTAATTGTTTTATTTTACTTCTCTATTGTTTTTTCCACCTGTTCTGCTTTATATGGGCCAAAATCTCACTACTTAGTAAATTGCACTAGAGTAGGTCCATTGAACTCATGGGGACTTGATGAGTCAACTCCTCCATAAGTTCCATTGTTTCAAATGGTCCTACTCTACCTGCAACTTTCTATGCTAAAGTAAGATACAGTTGGAATAGGACCATCTTAATCAATGGAAATGACTCACCAAATTGCCCACTAATTGAATGGGCAATTTACTACACTAGTGCAGTTTACTACACTAAGCAACAGGATTTTGGCCAGTGTTGGCTATTTATATTTTATCTTTTGTTTCGTTGGATAAGTTGCTTTGAGAATCTACTAGCTCAAAGCAGGCAATGTTATAAAATTTTTGTTTTTAAAAATAGACTAAATGGGCTTACAAACATGTTTACAAAAATGCATACCCCAATCAAATGGCATGAACCTAAATGTTCATTACAAATATCAGTTGAGAGAACAGGACTGTATTACATGTGTAGTGTAGCTTCTTCTTTGTCTCTGGTTTTGATTTTGGTGTTTGTTTGTTTTGCAACTGTTAGTATACATTTAGTGTTTCATCTGAAATAGGGATGTAAATCTTTGCTTGAGAAACTGCAGATTTACCCCCACCTGTCTTATGAGAGATTTCTTATCAGTATCAACAAGATTTCTCTCTTCTGTGAAAAAGATTTTTGCAGAATTTATGCAAATCGTAAAATTGTGCAAAATTACAACAGTTCCTGCTTGGTAGAAAGGCTCTTGAAAATTTCAAAGCATTGCATGTGTTAAATCTGTGAAGATTCTCAGTCATCCAGATGTGGTTATCTGGAAGTTGACTCATGGCAACTGGAGTTCTTTCTTGTTAGGTTGAAATGTTTCACTACTCATCCCGACTGAAATAGCTGCTTGGATGAGTAGTGAAACATTTCAACCTAACAAGAAGTCCAGTGGCCATGACTCAACTTCTAGACATTGCACGTGTTGTTGGCTTTTAAAAAAAAAAAATCAAACAGCTAGTCCTTTTGTGCTTTCTCTCTGTATATGCCTTGTTTCACAAAAAGATCCTAGTTGTGCATATCTGAAAAGAAGAAAAACTGCTTGTCTTGTTTGCAAACTGTATCCTCAAACAATTTGCTTTACAGTCAGGATAATTCCAAAACACTGTATTTTGTTGGAGAAGTTCATTCTCCAGTCCCATCATCCCACTACTATGAGGACTGTATCTAAACTCAGAGAAAAGAAGGAACCCCAAAGAATGGAATAGATGAAGCCAACATTTCTTCTAATCAAAAAGATACCCCTGATTGCCATGCGGATAAGCCGTAATACTAAATTTTGATACCTGTTGGGTCAATGAAAACAAGCATTTACAGTATAGGTAGGCAAAATATGTTTCTGAAGATATTATAGTGGAACTTCAACTCCCAGCATTTATCACCATGGGTTATGTTGGCTAGAGTGAAGGGAGTTGTAGTCCAAGAGCCTCTGGAGAGCCACACATCCCTCATCCTTGCTTTATAGGAATGTATGACAGCGTTTTCGTCTTCCATATACTGTATGTGTGTTGCATTAATGGTAGTTTTCTAGCAAAAGGATAGCCATTAGAGAGGGTAAGATGAAAATATTTTGACATTTGTGACAAGCCTCATTACACCACTCACTTGCTCAGCCTGTGGGAAACGGCAATGCCCAAAGACAGCTGCACCATCTTGGCAAAGAGACATTTAATGATTCTCCGGGGGGTTGGTGAAATGCAGATCTCCCATCCCTCTGTCCTCATCTTGTTTTTAGCAACAGAGAAGATTTAGGAGCAAGACATAACCACACTCAACTGTTGGGCGAATGTCAAGATCTGAAAGTTTGAATGTGGATGGTGTTAAAATAATTAAGAGGTATATGGGAAAAGTAGCTCCAAAAAAGAAATTGGTTTTAAAAATGAAGTTTTAACAGTAGTTTACTAAAAGTCACTGCAAAACAATTAGCAAGCTCTCCAGCTGAATAGGGTCACTGTAGATAAACGCTGTCTAGCAAAAGGAATTACATTCATATCTGGCAGTCGAGCTGTGGGAGAGAATTCAAAGAATATTGAAATAAGAATGTATTATTTTGCAGTGTGTTAATATGAATGGAGATGGCATTTACAACTCCTATAACTTGCACTGTCTGTAACTACAGTACTGTAATTTTACAATACCGTGATGTATCAGATCATTTATTATGATTTTGTAGGCCGCCCCGAGTAGACGCTGTCGGGGGGGTGGGTTATAAATCGAATGAATA